AAATTAAATGGAAGAAAAAAAATGGGCAACCATTCAAATGAAATGTAAAATTTGAAAATTAAGAAGAGTTTACAATTCATGACATAACTAATAAAATTAAAAGAAGTTACAAAATTTGATATGAGCAAAGAGTAAAACAGTTAATTGAGGGATTAAACAGTCTGAGAGTAATAAAAAATGTTCTATTTTTATTTTTTAATGCCTCTGTTAGTCGGATCGCCTGATTTCTTTTCAGCAGCAAGACCTGAATCCTCTGTTACAAACCCAAAACAGTTAATCGATTGCAGAGATAGTTTTACATAATAGGATAGAGAGAGAGAGAGAGAGAGGTGTTTTACTTTCGGGTATGGCAAGGGTTTTGGAGAGAGAGAGCTTCTCGTCTGGGATTGGGACCAGACTGTTCTCAGATGGAGTGGCCATCGGATTAGTTTCCGATTCAACTTTCATCGGCCACTTGGGACTCGACTGCTGCTGCTCTCTCTTTCGCCTTTCGTTGAAGAGGAAGAGAGTGTGTGAGATCGTTCTGTTAAAGCAGAAGAACAGAGACTGGGAGAGAGATAGAGAGGGAAGGTGGGACAGTCGTGGAGTTGGATCAATGGCGACGATGATGATGAGCAGCGGCGGTGGTGGTGAGCGGCGACAGTGGATCGATGGTGGTGTTTGGTGAAGGATGAAGAAGGGTAAAGGTAACAACAGGAGATCAGGTTTTTTTTTTTACTTTGAAGAGAGAACGTGAGAGAGAAATGTATAGAGAGGGAGTTGAAGAGATGTGTTTAGGCAGACATGGGGGAGAGAGAGAAGAGAGCGTTTGGGCGGGAATCAAACACATCTCAACCATTGATATTTATTAGAATGGATCTAAACCCTTGATTCAAAATGTATCTCTCATACATTTTAACACATTTTTAAAAAGCCTCTTGCCTTATTATATAGATGTGTATATATATTGAATTAATGGTAGTTTTTATGAATTTTGATGTTTGGTAACATAATATTAATCTCAATCGTAAATATATATTCAGTTCTGAAAAGAACCCAAAAACAGAAGCACAATGGGCTAATAAATCATGCAAAAATGGGGACCAAAGAGGGGTATAATGACAAGTGGCACATGGAGGTCCCAAACAGTGATGAGCCCTTCTTCAATGTTGAAGAGGGGCTCAAAATAAGCCTATCTACAGTTTACATCATGCTCCAAAACAGATCACATATAGGCTAAAAAATATCATGCAAGAAAATGGCATTCAAGGAGGATATTGAAGCAAGTGCAATATGGGAGGCTCAAACAGTGTTGAGCCCTTAAGCAGAAGTGAAAAAGAGCTCAAAAGAAGGCCACTTTCAGTTAGGGCCGGCGCTCAAAACAGTAAGCATATATGGCTAAGAAATGTTGCAAAAATAAGCTCAAAAAGAGGGGATTGATGCTCACCCTTGAAGACAAGTCTTTGGTTGCTTCTTGGCTTGAGAAGTGTTGCCTCTTAGCTGCTGGAAAGCTCCCCAAGCTGCTGGAAATGGAGTAGTGGTGGTGGTGCTTGGTGGTGATGAAGAAATGAGGTAGAACTTAGGAGGTTTTTTGCTTGAAAGGGAGAGATAGAGGGAGATATGAATGCAAAGCTTGAAGCAAAATCTTCCAACCCTTATGACCAAAGCTGGCAGCTGGTTATATGGACCAAGGAGAGGGGGAGCATGGAGGGAAAGGGTGGGGGAAAAGGACCAAGTCTTTTCCCCAAAGGCTGTCCCCCGGATGTAGATATTTTTGGGGGACAACAGCTATACAGCTGTAAAGTGCACATTGCAAGGATTAAGGCCGGCCAACTTTCAAAGCTGCAGGTGGCCGGCCGGCTACCTCCCATGGCCGGCCGGCTAGGGGTCAAAAAGGTCAAGGTGAATTAGTGGCCGGCCACCACAAATTGCTGTCCTCCCAGGTTCCCTCATCACAACCCCGTGGTTCAAAATTGCTAACTGTAAAACAGGAGAGAGAATAGGCCATTTTTAGGAAGGGTTCAAAAGGGTCAGATGGAATTACTGGCCGGCCACCAACTTTTAGTGTCCTCCCATGTGTGTACAACACAAATATGTGGTTAAAAGTTCAAGAAAATGGCTCAAGGTTGTTCAACATTGGCTCGGAAATGAAAAAAACGGGCGTCGGAGGGCGCCGGAGGAATATAACTGGTTGTTGAAACAATTGCTGGCCTCCCACCCTTCTACGGCCTTCCTGGTGATGAAACAGAGGTACCTGCCAAAAATGAACGAAAATCGATGCAAAACGAATGCTCGGGGGCCAAAACGCGCAGTTCGGGGTCCCGAAAATTGCCTGTTAAACACCGAAAGTGGCATTCGACCACGAAGTGGGTCTCTCAGACCTCAGTGTCCCTCAAAAGGGAGTAACTAAGAAGTATGCCAAATATCAGAGCAAACGGAGATGGTTAGGCGGTCTCGAACTGAGGCACACGGCCAACAGTCCCGAAAAATCGGAAACCGGGCTCCGAAATGGGCAAAATGGCCTACGGCCACAAAATGTAGCCCACGGCCATTGAGAGATGGTCTACAGGACCTCTCCCTCCCCTCAGGAAAAGAAACAGAGAAAACCGAGTCTGGTTCGCAAACTGAGGCAAGACACAGAAGAGGGTTCGGAAGTCCGGAGGTAGGGCTCACGGCCGCGACTCTGAAACTTCTGAACGAGCACAATATGCAGCGTCACCGAGCGCTCAATCGGTGATGTCTGAGTCTTAAGGTCGGTCAAAAAAATGGGGTGTCTACAGCTGTTTATTTAATACCGAGCTAACCAAGCTTGGTGCTTCAATGCACAACACCAAGCTAGCTAGGCTCTCGTACAGTTGTACCTCGGTTGCCTTTTGAAACCATGCTATCCATAGCGTACCCAGACCGAGCTATTCAACAGCAAGGTCCTGATTAAAGGCCCACAATACCTCGACTCAATTGGGTTTGACCGAGCTAACTGTCGCCGCTCTGACCATGCCGACCAAGCTAACTACAAAGCTCTTTTGGACCCGGCTATCTGCAAGGCTCCTCTGGACCGGACTAATTGCAAGGCCCTTTTACTCCGCCCTTCTTACTGTGGCCCACAGAATGGCCTATTACCCAGCTCGGCCCAATTTACATATAAATTACCCTTTCACATGGTAATCAAAGCTCTTACTAGTGATCTCTCTCTCTCTCTCTCTCTCTCTCTCTCTCTCTCTCTAAGTAAAGATCTAGTACCAAATTTGTTGTTCATAAAATCTAAATAAATTTATCAATGAATAAAGTTACAATAATAAATTTGTCAATCTTACTTTTATTATTTATTTTTTATTAGTTACAATACAATTGTGTGTGTTTGTTTTTTTGTGAATGAATAATTGAGTGTGGATATGAGAGAGAGAGAAAGTAATTAATTAGTATTATCAATGATAAATTTATCACTACCAAATTTTCATTCTTCCATTTCCTTTCTCTCCATCCATTTCTATTGTCACCGCCAGATCTAAGAAGATGGTGAGAGTAGTGACATGGCTAGGGGTACAACTCGGACGGATTTGGTTAGGTTGGAAGATCGTCCAAACCCAGTCTAAATTGTGCCGAGATCTGTCTAGTCCAGCCCAAGCCTAAATTATAACCCGAGTTTGTCTTCCCAAGCCCAACCTGAGTTAAATTCGAGTTGTCTGAATTGCACATAAATTTCAGTGTTTTTTTTTTTTTTTGTGCAACTAAATTAATAATTTATTAAAATTAAACTCTATTTACAATTTTGTTTAGAAAATCATTAATAACATGAAAATAAATAATTTTTTAATGTAAGAGAGGTACCACTATAGTAGTCTTTACAATTTATAAGTGAAAATAAAAAATAGAAAAAATAAAAAAAATATTTTGTGTTGTGTTACTTGTGTATATAATATATTCAATATAATTTAATGATTTAAATTACTTTAATATCATGTAATGACTAATAATTTTATGTATATTTAATATTTTTATATATCTATATATATAATTCGGGTTTCGGGTTTCAGGTTGCTCGGAATGTCTTTGCTCAAACCCATCCAAATTTAATTCGAACTTCTAAATTTTTGTTCAAATTTGTATCGAATTCAAAAATATCGTATCCAAACCCTAAAAAAATTAAGACTAAACTCAGATTGCTCAAGTTAAATCCGCCCAAGTTGCAACCCCAGACATGGTAGAGATGGACGTTTTTTTCTAGAAAATTTGTTAGAAAATTGTTGAAAAAATATCTCCAAGCACCAGAGGTGGTTGCTGGTGGTTGGAGACGAGATGACGACTGATTGTCAGAGAGGTCGGCCAGAGGTTATTGGTCAAAGGAGGGAGGGAGTCCTAACATTGTTGATAATGGACATCAAGAAGGTGAGGGGAGCACATTTTGAGAATATTAATATATGATTAAAAAAAACGAAAAAAAAAAGAGTAAGGGTTACAAATAAATAAGTTTGGTTAATAAAATTGATTTGTAAGCATCCCTAAATACGTTGAAGGGGGGTTTTGGAATTGAAAGGCTGTCAAATTCTTTGTAGTATGGCTGAGCAGCGGATATGCCGATCCGCCAAAATCGACCGAACCGATCCGATTCGATCCGCCGCACACTACAAGGAATTAGCCTTTTAGAGACCAATATTTAAGGACTAATTAAATTTGGTCGCTAAAAATAATCTTTTAGGGACAATTTTAAAAGCATGATAATTTACATATAAGATTGTAAAAATAACTATTAATATTCTCACTTAATATTTACATAATTTTTTTAGACCAATAAATTTGGTTGCTAATATGTTATTAATATCTTTAGGGACCAAATATTTCCGTCATTATCCATTAAAAACATTTTGGGACGAAATATTTTTATCATTTTAACGATTAAAAAGTCGGGGCCACACTTCAGTCATAACTTGCTCATTCCCTCCTCTTCAACGGGTTGCTCAATCTTCAGCCCTAAAGTTGAGAGCTCCAAGGCAGATTGGGAGCTCATTGTCTTCAAATTTTGGTGCCTCTCTCTCGCTCTCTCTCTGTAATCGATCTCCGCAATCAACCTGTAAGAGCTCCAATTCGAACTTTCAATTTCTTATCGTAATCGATCTCCGTAATCGACCTGTAAGAGCTCCAATTCGAACTTTCAATTTCTTATTATTTCATAGATTGAACTTTTTTTATGTGTATATATATCTCTTAATGTGTATGTGTATATATATATCTAATCTGATGCGTGTTGGAGATGAAGAATTATTTTCTCGCACAGTTCAATCAATACTGTATTTCGTAGGCTGTTAATTTATTGTTTCAGTGAGTTTTCAGGTGTTACACTGTCATTTTCTGTTTTCTGATTTTCAATTTCTGACTGTTACATAGATTGAACTTGTGTGTGTATATATATATGGCCTTCTTCTCTGTTTTCTCTCACTAAGAATAAGAATGATGAATGAATCGTCTCTCACTGGGCCATATGTATCAAACTCTCCATATGTTGGTCAATCTCTTCCTAAACATGGAGCTGTGAAGATGCCATTTCTTTGACAATAAGTAGGCATCCATGTTTTTAGCTTCACTTGTATAGTTGTATGCATTTCCCTAGAATGCTGATTCAACTTTGACTTGTAGTTGAAGAGAGGATAACAAAAGAAGGATCTAACTATCATTTAACACATACTACCTTTTAGCATATAAGGATTTGTAATGTCTACTATATTATGCACTGATGTGTGCCATAGAACTTGGCAGAAATCGAAGTAAAATGATGTGGTTTGTTGTTAAAACTATTCTATAATAGTTGTGGAATATCTGTGCAACAGCTTGATTTTTAAAATTTTAGCTATTTAAGGCTGTGACCTCTTAAATTGACACAACTTAAAATGGCTGAAAAATTCTTATGATATCCATTGACAAAATGGCCGGCAAATGTAGATGTAAATATAAGTGGAATTTTTAATTGAATAATGAATTGTAAGGTTCTGAAAACTATGCTTATTAGTTGTTGTATCTCTTTCTATGACACTACTTTATTGAAGGCTAAAGAGATTTACGACAACATGATGTATATTTTAGATGGTTGCATGAAATGAGATTTTTGCTTTCTACTTGCATGTTGGTACTTGTCAGTATAATCATAATTAGTTGACAAGTACAGTCAAGTGTTCTTTTGATATATCATATATATTATTTTGCTAATTATATTATCCTATACACTCATCTCCACTTGAGATCATAATGTAATTGTGGGTTTTAGTCATCAGACTATAGTTACATTACATTTTTGTAGTTGAACTTGTGAATAATTTTCTGATAGTTTCTGTTGTGATTGATATTAATAATAATTTTGTCATGTTTGCAGGTATCCTGATACGAAAGATGAGGCAATTGCTGAGGCTTGCCTTGTTTGTTGTGGAAACTGCAATTGCAAAGCATTCTTACGTTTAGATGGATCTCTTAAAGTCAGTCAGTTTTCTTTGCTCCAGACATTTCACGATCTGTTCTATCAGTGCCTATTCTAGATCTCCTCCCTCCGAAGCACGGACACCTCTCCGGAGGTCATGTACTGATGTTGGACATGTGTTGGACACAGACATGTGCTGGACATGCTCTGGACACATTTCAGACATGCTGGAGAGACTTGGCCACACTGTGTCAGTTGGGACATGATGGGGACATGTTGTAGGCACGTGGGGACACACTGCGACCTATGAGATCAGGCAATTATTTGCTAGTTGTATGTTTGTTTGGCCAGGGTTATCATTAGTAGCATTAGAGCTACAAAAGGCAGCTTGTGAAAAGGATGAGCGTGTTTATTGGTAGGTTTCATGAAAATTTTCTTCTTTATGTTAAATATTTCTTAATTTTTGCGTAATGATATCACATATTTTGTGCAGCAACTACTGTAAAACTTCTGTTGTTGATTTCCACAGAAGCTGTCCAAACTGTTTTTATGACCTTTGCCTTACTTGTTGCCGGGAGGTCCGTGATGGTCACTTGCAGGGAGGTGGGAAGGAAGTAATCTTATTATACAATATTTTCTTATTTGGTTAGTTAAACACATTTTCGATAGCTATACAAGAGCTGAAAAAGCATCAGCTGAGCACTGATGCCTCAGGTGTGCTACTTGGTGCTTGTTTTTCTATTTTCTTATTTGGTTAGTTAAACACATTTTCGATGACAAAATTAAGATCTAAGTAGTGTTTGGAGCATATTAAACAAATTTTCAGATGTTTGCTTCATATATGTATGACAAAAGATCTAAGTAGTGTTTGACTTTATATTAAACTATGTTTGCTTCATACCCGTATGGCTCCAAGGGCATCAAATCTTATTATACAATGAGTTTAGTTAACCTAAAAATTTGTGGTCAATGGTTGTCTTTGGCATGTTGTCAATATGCCACAAAATTCGAACAAAAGTCAGTGTTCCTTTATGAAGTAGCTGCAAGTCATTTTTGTGATATCATTGGCTTTGTGTGAATTCTTGTTTTTTTTTTTTTTGAAAAGTGTTCCTTCCACAACCAGCTACATGGAATTCCATTGTCCACCCGACTATGATTTTTCCTGCATGCACGAGGGGAAATTTGACAATGTTAGAAGTTGTAGTTGTCTTCTTCTGAAACCTGCTTCTGCATTTTGCTCTTTCCTCTTGTTCATTAACATTGCGGTGTTCTCATTTCCTCTTAGAATTGAAGATATATTCTCATTAAGTGGGTATTGACTGCAAGAAGAGGCTTCTTCATTCTCTTGCACTGGTTTTTGGTTGTATAATTGCTTCATCTTTGGTATGTTTTTCAATGAGCTCTTTCCTCTTCTTTATTTTTATTTTTGTTAGTAATTATTATTATTTTTGGCCATGTTGGTGGATTCTGAACTGGTTTCCTCCTTGCCTTTATTTTGCTGCTTTGTCATCAGTTTGGATGGGTAGATTGTTTTAAAGAAATATTTGACTTCTAAAAAATGACTCAAACTTTTCATTATTTTTTTTGTTGCTGTTTATTTATTTATGTTTTATATATAAAAAAAGATGAAACACAAAAACGACAAAATAAATTCAACATTTTCATTATTTTCCAACTTATTTTTTTATTTAACTACCATTAGAATCCGAAATACCAATGAGATATTATGTGTCCTGATGTTTTGCTTTTGTTTTATGTGGTGTGCCTTGGCAATACATCCCTGAATTTTTGTTTGTCAAAAGATAGATTTGAATCACATAGTCAAAAGTAGATATACATATTAGTGAAACTTCTTCAAGAATTTAGTTGTGTTTCTCCCTTAAGACCACATACAGAAAGTAACTAGATATTGGAATTTAAGGATAATGTCTTTGTGTACTACATAATAGGGATTTCGGGATGGATAGGAGTTGGATGCAACGTCATAATAGAAGGTTACATCAATACATTGATGGGGTAAAAGAATTTATCATGTTAGTATTGTTTCACACTTAAACATTTCAATTAGCTCTCTTGGTAGATAGTGTTGCTTCTGTGAATCATTATCACTTGTTAGTAGATCTTGTGGGATTTGAAAATCTTGGTTTGTTCGTGTTAATTATTTGTAGTTTTTGCTGCTTTGAAGTGTATGAGCGATATTACCTATAAAATTAGCCGGATGAATCAACTAGATTTAGTGCTTCTTGGTTCTCTTTTATATACTTTTCTGCTATTGTAGACTTGCTATATAGAGAGATAAGTTTATAAAATATCAAATTTGAAAGGGTTGATTATGATAATATGCTTAGATTATGATAACCTTATTGTATTGATTCTAGGTGACTCATTTTCTTGTTGTGTTGATTCTTATTATAGCTCACTACTACTACAAGTACACTGAGATAATTTGTTTTTTCATTATTTGTAATTTATTTGATTATGAATGACTAATGATTATTTAATGAGTTTATGTTGTGTTGATTCTTATTATTTGATTCTTCTTTTTGAATTTTGGGTTGCAGGGATGTCCAAAGGGTGCCACACCTAAGTACAACTTGAAGCCTCTTGTGCCAATGCTGTTTGATATAAAACATGACATTGATGTTGAGAAAATGCTTTTTTAGATATTCTCTTTGAAGAAACTGTTGCTATTTTTCATTTGAACGGTTACTACTTTGATTTGAATTTGGAAACTTTCAGTTTTAATTTTTGTAAAATTTTACTTTTTATATACTCATTGTGGTTTGGGAATAAAATGTTTTTGATGCGTGGATGTCAATTTTTTTAATATGATTGGATGACATTTAATTTTGTGCATTTTTAGCTATAAAATTAAATGATTACGAAATTCTTAACTTTGATTTTTAGCGACGAAAATGTGTTGTAGAGTAAGTTATATCTTTTAGCGACCAAATATCATTGTCGTTAACAATACCATTATTTTGTTTTTCGCGACCAAATTGGAACATTTTACGACGAAGTATTAGCAACCAAATGTTTAGTCTTGTAAAATTAAATATTTTGTGACAATATAAACTTGGTCGCTAATTGTCATTTTTAGTGACATTTTCAAAAATTCGTCGCTAAAGACTTTTCTAGACGCACTATTAGTGACTTTTTTAATGACAAAGTTAATTTTGTCAGAAAAATCATTTAGAGACCAAAATAGTAGTTTTAGGGACCAAATATTTGGTCGCCAAAAGGCTTATTTGTTGTAGTGGCATTTTGGACGGATGCGTGATGGCGAGTGGACAGTTGCGGATTGATTTTCTCCAATCCGCCAATCTGGCGGACGGATGACGAATTTGAGATTTCTTTGGCCGCAACCAAACCGCCAAACCGCGAGCATCTCTAGTAATTTATAAGACTTTGTGTTTTCAGTTTGTTTAAATATTCTATTTGTGTTTTCAATTAAAAAATAGTTTAAATATTTTGTTGGAAAAAAAGTTTTCAACTTGAATATCTTTTTGAATTGAAAAAAATAAACGTATTATTTATCTATATTTTTTGGTTTTTAAATCTATCTCTAAAAATAATAAATAGAAAATATGATATATGCTGGTTGATTTTTATTTTCAAAAACGGATATAGATGTGATAATACAGAGACATACAATCTCTACTACTGCTCTGTTCATGGTTTTAGTGGTTTGAATTGCTTTTATATTTTAAGAACCACAGATTGTAATACTTTATGTGGATGAGAATGTTGTGATTGTAGTATGTGGATGAGGTATGCAGTGATTGTAATATTCTAAAGTTTCAAACTTTCTTACTTTGAATGAAGCATGCAGTTATTATAATATTTTTTTAAGTCATCGACTGTCATACTTTCTTCCTTTTTTTTTCTGAGGAAGTACACAAGTTAAATTATATTGAACATTTATAAAATTTTAAACCGCCAAACCGATTCGCATCCATCCGCCAATCCACTCAATCCACATCCGCCGGATTGGCAGACGAATGCGGATTGATTTTCTTCAATCTGCCAATTTGACAGACGGATGACGGATTAGAGGTTCTGTGGCCGCAACCGACCTGCACCCACCCCTACTTTGTAGCCCGTTCACAATAAGCCCAAATTTAAATACAACGAGCTTACCTAAAAAGTATAGCACTGCCTGGGATATATATTTAAATGGACCAACATGTACTTTAATGGTTTTGTGAAGTTGAAAACAAATTATGTAAACAACTTGATATTAGATGGATGTATACCTTGTAACGATGATAAGAATCAATAGCCACATCTCCATTACCACCATCCTGTATTTTACCTGCCGCATCACATCAAATGTTTATTATAAATGGTTTCTATCAAATTCAACTGTTGGTTGGGTGAAGATGAAGGGTTGTTTACGTCAAGTCGAGTTGTCAACCTAAGCTCGACTTGAATTATATAAATTCAACTTGGGCTATATTATTCACAAATTTAAGGTGAGTTACATTTTTTCTTTCCCAGGTATGCTGTTTAATTTTTTAATGTTGAGTCCTATTACCATTTTTTTTTTTTTTTTTGGACAAATCATAAGTAGCAACAATAACATAACAACTAAACTCTTTACATAAATAATCTAATAATTGGTCTTGTTTGGAAAGTTACCTATTTAGTTTTTTAATTATTTTAATTGGTTAAAAAAAGTTGTGTTTGAGAAGTTGGTTGGCTTTTTTTTTTTTTTGTAGTTGATTTGATGGTTGTAAAAGAAAAAGTGAAGTGATCACGGATTAAATATAACATTTTGTCTTATTAATTATTTTAGCTTATTTTATCTTAGTGGGCTATTTTAGCCCAACTTTCTTTCCAAACACCTCCAATATAACAAAGGGCAAAATAATGTGTACTATTTTGGAAAGTGAATTAAAAGTTACTTTAGCTTTTAACCCATTCTCTCACAAAAAAAAAGTTAAAAAGCCACAAAAAAAAAAAAATCCAAAAATCAATTTTTAACCATCTTCTCAAAACACTCCAAGTTATGACATTTGTGGGGTTCACTACTATAAATGTCATAATTCAATACTATGCGAGTCATAATTATAAAATAATAATAATAATAATAATAACCAAAAATCACATATCTTAGGTCATAATTAATATCATAATAAGTCATAATTAATACTACAATGTATATAAATAAATTATAACTAAAATTTCAATTAGTTATAACCAAAAATCACAAAAATAATAACTAAAAGTACATGACACACCCCAAAATGAGTGGTACCATAAAATTTATCTATAACAAGCAGGACACCGAACCACATAATATAAACTTAAGAGTGAGCGGAGACAAATAGCCGAGATGGTTGCGTTATGAATATAGAAATGATCACATGAGTTAGGAATCCATGTAATTATGTGCTCATTTAATAATATCTTGTAATTTTTTAACAAATATATTAATTTTAGGGTTATGTAATCATTTAGGCCTTTATTAAGAGAAAATTGGTGAAAAGTCAATTCTAAAATGGTACAAAGAATTAGATCTAAGAAAAATCTTATTTCGTGATAAGATCACGCCGAAAAAAGTTGTCGAAAAATTGATCAGAAAAGTCGTTGGCGGCGGTGATGGCGGCAAGTGGGTGGTGGTGGTGAGTAGAGAAATGTGTGATATTTAATAGATATGTTGTTAAATAAGTGACATATGTCACATTTGAACAGATAGACTGTTGAATGAGTAACATGTGTCATATTTTAACAGATAATTAGTTTGGTGAATTTTAACAGATAGAGAGATAGATTAATTTCAAAAGATAGATAGATGTATTGATTTCAACATATAGTTATTACTTTGGACAAATTGTGTTTTTTTCAAATTTTTGAATTGCCATTCAAACTCCCGCTAAATTTAGTCTTTAGTCAGGTTGCACAAGCTAGCTAGAACAACTGATTATGTAAAACAAGACAGTTTAATATGTTATTCAAATCTTAAAAAATTTAGGATAATTTATCAATAAGTCTTAATAGTTGAATTTAATTTTCATCAAGTCTTATTAAAAATAAATTCTAATAAAATAGTTGCGAAAAATGATTTTTTGTGATGATTTTTTGTATTTCGCTAAAAATTTACAATTAGTAACTTTTTTTGTCATTATTTATTTTTATAAATTGTTGTTAAACCTTGCAATTAGTGACTTTTTTTGTGAATAATTTTTCAAACTGTCACTAGAAGTTAAAAATTGGTAATTTTTTTTGTGACGATTTTTTTAAATAGTTTCTAAAACTTATAATTAGTGATATTTTTATGACAACTTTTAAACTGTGGGGATATATTTTCTGAATACCAACACGTGGCATGATGACGCCGACGTGTCAGCCGAGGTGCCACGTGCCCTGGTAGTTAAGCCGAGGTAATCTCGGAGAAGCCGAGGTCATCTCCGAAGATATCGGAATCCGAGATAAGGGGCAAGAGTCCTAAGGCAAAAAGGGGACTTAACCAAGATAAGGATAAAGCTCTTAGGGAGTTTATCTTTATCTCTTAAAAGAGTCTAGAGTAAACAGTAAATTAGAGTTCATAAAAGTCATACTTCTAGTGGGACTTGGATTGAGTATATTATAAAAGAGAGGCACCCTCGTGGGTCTAAGGTATGCAATTTATGTTTTGAGTATTCAGTTTAGTACTTGATTATCTTTGAGAGATATACTGACTTGATCGTCGGAGTGCCCCCGGGTGGAAGAACCACCGCCGGAGCTTTTTCTTTCTGATTCAGGTTGCCTAAGCCATCTATTCTGCCTGTGCTCTCCAGCTGATCAATAAACGGGCAGTGTGGTCAGATTTTCACCCACACATAAACTAGGACTCAAAAATTAATAATTAATAACAATTTTTAATAATATTTAATTAAAAAATTATTAATTATTATAAAATTTATTAAACAATTAATTCACTTATTAAAACTTACACTTATCTCTTCCAAATATTTAAAATGGGGCTTCGATTGTTGTGACCCTCCGAATTGGACCATTATGTTTGACTGTAGCTGAAGGACATTACATAGTTACCGACGCTGCAGGTTTTACAAGGATAATAAACACAAAGATTCGGGAGAGGGGTGCCTGCTGTACAGCAGGCACTGCTGTACAGCCAAAAGGGCAAAAAGAAAAGAAAAAAAAAACAAAAATATTTGAAGCCCCTTATTTTTGCATTCACGGCACAGCCTGCTGTGCTTAAAGCACAGCAGGCACCCCTTGTCCCAAAGATTCTAAATTGTTGATTTATTAATTGCACAATAGGACAAATAATGTTTGTCGAAATTGTTAAAATTTTTCCCATGCTTACCATGCTTTAGATCTTAAATTTGACCTCCAAACCTGAGGTTCTAAATAAAAAATTTCATTTATGTTGCATTTAAATCATAAATTTAAATTAAAATCTATATTAAAAAAATAATAAATTATAAATACGCTCCCTGAGATTTACTTAAAATACAGATTGTTTCCTGTGGTTTGAAAAATTACAAATACCCATTTTTAGAATTTTTTATTTAACAAAATTAACTAAAAAAATGAAATTTATAATTGCTCTCCTATACAATAATAAAATTACCTAAATTATTAATTGAAACATATTTATAATATTATTAAAAATGATTAATTGACTTGATGATTTATTAATAAAAGGGGCGATTTGTTATGAAATTAGAAATCTCAAGAGGTAAAATATAATTTTCAAAATCACAAGGAACGATTTTAATTAAATCTCAAAGGATGTATTTATAATTTACCAAAAAAAAAAATGCAAGCGCAATATATTCATTTACATTTCACTCACCTTTTCATTTTTCTTTACAAATTCATATTGAAATCTACAATTCAAACGAAATCTTAGGAATTTTAAATCTTATTCAAATCTTAGGAATATTTGGCATGATAAAACTCAAATATTGGGTTTGAATTTTAAATTTGTGGAGAAAGTAATGAAAATAAAAAGAAAAAAGAAAAAAAATAAAAGTAAATACAATTGAAGTTAATATTTTTTTCTTCATTTTTTCTCCCTTTTTTCTTTTTCCTGTATAAGTTTATTTTACAAATCCAAGATCTAAACTCCAAAACAAAAAAACAAAAACAAACCAACAAACAACAAATGTCAATACTTTGGGCTTATGTCATTATCATTTTATAGAGGGATTTAAAAAAAAAATTAATATGAATGCTATTTCCAAACTTGAAAATTTTCATTTTTGACATTCAAAATGAATGAGGCCTATATTGAACTTATGTAAACAACTGCACTTTTGTCTACCAAACTTTATAGTATTCCTGGATTTTCCAACAACAATAATAATATGATGGGGAAAAAAGAAAATCACAATAACTAAACCACTGCCTCAAAATTTGAAACTTGAACTTTACTCAAAATTTTATCTCATTGAGTCGTCGAAAACAATCAATTAAATTTTGATTATCAAACTTGATATAATATACAATAAACAAGATTGCCAAAAAATTTCAATATCTTAAAATATCATAGTTTTATATTTGCTCGTATGAAGTGAAAATATATGAAATAAAAAATAGAATGAGAGAATGAATAATTTATAATTTTTTTTTTTTTTGTCGTCTTCGCTGTTTAACAAAAGTGAAGTTTACATAGATTATGTAATCCTATGAGTTGCATACACACACATATATATATATATATATATATTAATGAGCTTGCGATACATAGCACTCATTTGGAAAGTTGGATTGGGGTGGGTTGGGATTAAAATAGTTACGAAAAGACAATATAGATTTTTTAATCTAATAGGACAAAATGTTACAATCATTTTATTTTTTTTTTATAAAAGTCAAATAAGTCAAAAAGTCCATCCCAACCAAGATTTTTTAACTCCAACTAAAATAGCTAAAAAGTCAAAAAATCAACTCACATCCCAAACCAACCCATATAAAGCTTGATTATTGAGTTTTTTTGTCAAGTTACTTAATATTATTTTTTTAATCAAGCTAAGTTAACTTATTTTAGTCAAAGTGAGTTGTAAAGATAAAATTCACTTGAGTAATCCTAAACAAGTCATTCTCTATATTTGTCTCCCACCTAAAAGACTCAAAAAAAAAATAATAATAATAAATATATGGGAGAAGTAAGACTTTAAAATGAAACTTTTTAATTTTTGAAGCATTACATAAGTAATGTCACATAATAATCTATAAATAATAGATAATTATTGGTAAGAGAGGATACCAAATTAGAGAGAGAGCGAGAGACAGAGAGAGAGAGAGAGAGAGGAGTATATAGATGAACTAATTTGACAAGTAGATTAATTAAAGAAGAAAATTTAATGTGAGAAGTGAGACCTGGATATCTATACGTGAAGGTATTCCGTATGCTAGGACCTCTACTACCTTCATTTGCTGCACCTTCATACTGAAAAAGAAAAAGAAAAAGAAAAAGGCATGCATGTGAAAAATATTATTTGTCACCTTGACTGAATAGTTCATTTAAATAGTTCATTTGTTTGAGTCCTATATAAATTCCATAAAAATTAATGACTCATGTCTATTTGAAAGAACATGTCATTTTCCTATTGATCTTTTTAATTTTGATGCAAAAAACAGTTTACGAAATTAAAAAAAAGATATTTTTTTTGGTGTTTTGTAAAAGATTGTTATTTCAAAACAAAATCCCCCAAAAGTTTTAGGAAACAATTCACCAAACTTTTTTATTTTTTGTTTTTGTTTTCTAAAAATAAAAACAAAAATGAAAAGCACAAACCAAACAACATAACTTTTTCTTGATGGGCAAACAGCATAACTAATAGCACAAATATGAACCATAATATACGGCAGATTGAGGTAGATATATAGGAACCTGATAAGCAGCAGAGGCTGTGCCAAAGGTAAAACCGGGTGGAAAACTTGTGCTATTGAGAGAGTCACTGCCATAACTACTATGTGTTGAAGCTTCTTCACTACCATTTGCTGTTGTTGTTCTTGATTGAGCTATTAGAAGGAGGAGGGACAAGAGTATATAGCCCATAACTGATTTTGGTCACCCTCTCAACTCTTGCATGCTTTGGCTTTAAATATATAGTGCCATGAGAATAGTTTAAAATTTTGTTTTTTTAATGAGAAATTTTTGTATGCTAATAAGAAAATATGTGACATTATTTTTTATCAATCATAAATGTATATATGCTTCATATCATTCTCTAAACACCCAATATAAATGTAGTGGACCTTATTGTCAAAATCAATCATAATAGTAAAAGATACCACATGACATACACCTTATCCGCATACAAAAATTACTGATCTAGCGAAACGCGAAATGATAACAATGTTAAAATCCATTGATTCAAAAAAGAATATCAAAAGTAAGATTCCTCTTTAAACTCATTAATTTACAAAGAATACTAAGAATAAAGACTCAACAATAGTTGATTCACAAAGTATACCGAACGTTGAAACAAAAGAGTATAAAACTTGAAATATATTAACTTTCAAAACTATCCCCCTTGCGCTAAACCTTACATCTTTATTTATAATAAATCCAATTTTTGTAAAATAAGAAATAAAATCGAGACTAATAAAACAGGAAATAAATTCAAAACTAATAAAGTAAGAAAATTGCATCATATCAAATCAGGAAACTAAATAACTATATAATTCTATAATATTCTATACTAAATTAGGAAATTCCTAATTTCAAAACAATAAAATAAAAATATTTATTTTTTAAATTTCGGCTTGCATCATTACGATTTTTTTTTTTTTAAATTCAGTTGCATCATTATGCAAGCCGAATTTTAAAAAATAAATATTTTTATTTTATTATTTTAAAATTCATAGTTGATTAGGAATTTTCTAGTTTTAGTATAGAATATTATAGAATTATTTAGTTATTTAATTTTCAAATTTGATATGATACAATTTTCTTGCTTTATTAGTTTTGATTTTATTTCCTAGTTTATTAGGGCCTATTTGGTAATGTTTACATTTTCAGTTTATATTTACAAAAATTTTATAAATTGATTTTTGTTTATTTTTAGAAAAACATAAACTACAAAACGCGTTTGACTTAAACAAAATGTTTAAAAAAATTTAAAAATATAAAAAAGAGTGAGAAATGGCAAGTGGTGGCGGGTAGTGGGTGGTGACGAGTGGTGGCGGCAGAAGATGATGGTGGAAAATGATGGTGGATGGTGGTGGCGGAAGACGGTGGTGGAAAGTGGTGGCAAGTGACAGGTGGTGGCGGCGGAAGACGGTGGGTGAGTGGATGGTGGGTGGGTGACGGTGACGGTGACGATGGTGGGTGGTGGTAGCCGGTGGGTGGTGGGTGATGGTGGTGGTGGTGGTGGGTTGTGGGTGGTGGTGGCGGGTGGGTGGTGGCTGGTAGCTGGTGGTGGCAGGTGGTGGAGTAATAGTTTTGTTAATGAGCTCCATGCATACAGTAGCCACTCTAATCGTAGCATAAGCGAAGGATTTTGGGTGACAAACGTTACCGTCTATGTTGAGTATAGTGCCCCAGATATTGCCAATGCTGTTAAGAGTAGCCCTACTCCAAAGATGCAAGGGAATACCATAGCATCTCAACCACACACACCGCTCTTGTTGCAGATGATAATCTGGCCTCCATTCCATCACAGATTGGCTCCCGTCCTTGAACCACTCTTTGATCTTGCCAATGTTTGATTGCGTGGCGAGTGGTGGCGGCGGAAGACGGTGGTAGAAAGTGGTGGCAGGTGGCAGATGGTGGTGGTGGCAAGTGGTGACGGAAGACGGTGGTGGGTGGTGGCGGCAGAAGACGGTGGTGGAGGGGGGTGGTGGGGGAAGACGGTGGTGGAAAATGGTGGCGGGTGGTGGCTAGTGTTGGGTGGTAAAAAAAAAAAAAAAAACTGAGAACTCAAAACGGAAACATATTTTTTGAGTTTTCCTTTTTTAGCCAAATTTAAAAATTGAGACTATTGATTTATAAATCAAAAATTTACCAAACAAGTTTTTATTTGAGTTTTTAAAATTTTTGTAAATATAAACAGAAAACTGGAAGCGTAAGTATTACCAAACGGCACCTTAGTTTCTTGTTTTACAAAAATTGGGTTCATTATAAATAAAGATATAACCCATAAGGTAAGGGAGATAGTTTTTGAGAATTAATACATTGAGGCCATGTTTGTTTGGATGGACATGAGTTTGGGATTGGACTAATAGTCTAATAAAATTATTAATCTGGTGTTTGGTTAAACAATTGAAGTACGGACTAATTATTTTAAACTTGACTATTAGTTAAGATAGGATACATAATCCAACGGATTCGTAGTCCTAGGACTATTAGTCATGGGAATGCTAATCCAGTCCGCCCAAACAAACATGGCCTGAGTTTTATACTTTTTTTGTTCCAACATTGGATATTCTTTGTGAATCAACCATTGTTAAGCCTTTATTCTCAGTATTATTTGTGAATCAACGAGTCTAAAGAGGAATCTTACTTCCGGTATTCTTATTTGAATCAGCAGATTTTAAGATTGTTACTATTTCGCATTTCATGCTGTATCATATATCCTATCTACATACAAAAATTACTCTTAATAAATTGAGAAATTAGTCAATAATTTATGTAAGAATACAGTTTGTTTGATCTTCTTAGTCAAATTCCATCATCTGTGGCTATTTAAAAAAAGAAGAAAAAAAAAAAAAACCATTGTGTTATGTCACAAAAATATACATTATCACCTATGTAGAAAAATTATCTACAAAAATTCTCAAAATTTGAAATATTTGTCTCAATTTGACTCTAATGTGTTCCACACTAAATGTACATTCAAACTTCGAATATTTTTTTTGATACATTTATACTCTCTCTCTAGCTACACATTGAAATCTTGCTTGTGAGCCATTTTATTTTGCCAACTTGACTCTTTTTTGCAGCAATCTCACTCACTGCCACATGCTTTTTCAAAATCACGTGGTAGTAAGTAGGATTGTTTATTATGACATAGGTGTTATGAATTCAAATATCATAAACAATTTTTTCATATATCAGGAGATGAAAACGTGAACATTATACTCTCTCCAGACTCTCTAGTGATAAAAATCTTGTGCCACTGCCCTCTATCCTGATTGATGTTCATCTTCACATATCAAATTTAAAGTTTATGCTTATCATAGAATCGTTAGAGAGTTGAACCATGGCAAGTAGTGAACATTTTTTGAGAGAAATGTTATCTACAAGATCACACTTTGCAATGAGAAAAATAGCTTTTCAGACTTTGCAATGAGAAAAATGGCTGTGGTATCATCTTAAAAGTCATTCATGTTTGTTGATATCCTAATAAACAAACATGCTGATCTTTGTTCTTTTTTTGGGGGGGATTATTGTTGTTTGGCTCCAGTTGGCTGTTGACCGTGTTGTTTTTGTTATGTTATTTGTGATGGTTATTTTTTGGTCTATTTGACTGGTTTTTCACTAACTCTCGGTAGTTGTGTTTACATATAATTGAGCATAGTTTTTGGTGTCAACCTTCTTGGAATCATCTTGTCTCTTTATGATGCATTTTGCACTCACCTCTTTTTTCTCTTTATTAATGTAATATCTTCTTATTTTGTCAATTTTTATCAATAAAATTTGTCTTTGCCCATAAATAAAAAAAATAAGAAATACAAATGGGCAACCTTGTGCTTGGAAAATTATGCATTACACTTGTAAATGACGAGACTTTTAGAGTTGTTTTGAATCTTAACATACTGTTAATCTTTAAAAAATTGTCCAATAATGCATGCAATTTGATTGGGATCCAATTCTTTATTGGTTTCATGTATCCTCTCTAGTGTAAATTGGAATATAATAATTAGAAGATTTATGTCTTCTTTTCAATATGCATTGATTGAATTAGACTCCTACACAAAAATTGACTTTGACTCCCAGGTTCAGTAATATATGGTCGTGCAAATTTGTTTACGTTGAAAAATACACAACATTTGATTGATTCATTTTGTATTTTTGGTGGACCATCACCATGGTTCAATTAATGGAAGAGTAAATTACAGATACACTTCTAAAATTTGTTTAAAGTATAAATTATTTTTTATAATTTAAAAAATTATAAATATTCTCTTATTAAAAAAATTGTTTAATAGAATTAATTAAAAAATAAAATTCATAATTACTCTCTTATATAATAATAAAATTACTTAAATTATTAATTGAAATATACGTTTAACATCATTAAAAAATATTAATTGATTTGATAATTTATTAATAAAATAGACGATTTAATATGAAATTAGAAACCTTAGGGGATTGAATGTAATTTTCATAGGAACAGAGAACAATTTGTAATTTTATTAAATTTCAAAAAATACATTTATAATTTACCTTTTTTTAATCAACAAATAAAATCTGAATTGATGAAATCAGCATTACAATGATGACAGTTCCAATCACCATTGAGTTGACCATTATATTTACAATGATCATAGTTCCAATCATCATGTGGCAGGAATTTCTTTTGTAGTCTTTCAAATGTATAATAGATTACAATTATTTTTTCTTTTATCTTCTAGGCAAATTAGACCATCTCCAACGGTTTATTAAACTTGGCATTAGATTTAAATTTTGGTAAAAAAGTGACTTTTTGGTATTCTAACGGTTTCACCAAATCAATATCAAATCGAGAATTCACCAAAAGTTTCACCAAAATGAGAACAGACTTCAGATTTCACCATTTCACTGTGCGTTACCGTCGGAGAAGACCAACCGGTCGACCAGCCAGCGGTGGACCGATTCCCTTGCAAATATTTTGGTTCAAACAGGTCAAAAGGTTCGAAGAGGTAAAAAAAAATAAAAAAAAATACACCAACCGGTCAACCCACCAGCTGCATCAATCTGCTTCATTCTGCTTTACCCAATCGATCACAGGAGTCGGCCTCGTCGCCGACGCCTTCAATGAATCGAAGCTTGATCAGTTGGGTCTTCAATGCTAAAAAATGTTCAATTTTCAAAACTAGTTCTGATACAGAGGTGGTACTCCACTGTTGGTTCTTCACTCATGC